ATATGGGGGATTGTCATAACTATGGTCCCTTTTTGGGTCCCTATTATAATACGGGGGCTAATACGGGCCTAATTTAGGGGACCCAAAAAGGGACCATAATCTTGACAATCCCCCATATGTGCAGAATCTGTAGCGACAGAGCAGTAAATGCAGCGAAAAGAACAGGAAGAGGGAGGAAGCAGAAGATGCATGCTAGACATTTGTGGAGGTGCACCAGGCGAGCCAATCTCTGGTTCCTTGGAGGGTGCAATGGGACGGCTCCTGAAGGCTTACGGCTTACGCCCTCTTCGCAATGCTAGCGACCAATCAATTGGCATGTTGCGCAAGTGCAGAGCTTACATGCGGACACTCGGGATGACTGTCGGAGCTTGCAGGCCCCATGGCTAGGCGCCAACGCCAGATCAGCGCAAGGCCTGCAGAGCAGCATTCAAAAGATATCCAACCCATCGTGTTTGGCGGACTGTGCAACACGAAGACATGCTTAGCGTCTTTCAATGCATCTCGGCCCGATCCAATTCACTTGAGCCTAGGCCTCTCCAGCCTTGCCGCCACTCTTCAGGCAGCTCGGCGGGCGGCGGCTTCCGTCTGGGCCTGGGCTGCCCCAGGGCACTGAACGGCCCACCATGTTTGGGCAACGGTGCGCAAACTCAAGGACAGAAGTGTGCTGGAAAGGCAGAGTACGGCGCTGCGGGCGTTCTTCGTGTCGTCATGGCTCAGACGGGCCTGGGGAGCCTGTCTCTCAAAGTCGCTCTCAGACGGGATTTGCCCTTGGCTTCCTTGCAAGTGCCTGATTCAGGTGGCAATCAGACAGCGCAGGCTGTCTGCTTCTCATTGCAGACATGGATTGCCCAGAATTCCTTCTTGGCAGGCCTGCCTTCAGCAGATGCTTGCCTTGGCAGAGAAGTTCACAGTCAGTGCTGCCGTGGGCTTGGCAGTTCCCTTGCAGACATGAACGTGTGGCCACCTCCAAAGCACCACGTTTTGGCAACCCATCTTGCTCAGAGGGTTGGGACAAAGGTTGGTGGCATGCAAGATAACTTGTCTAACTACCTGTGCGGGTCGTTGAGCGTAGCAGGCACAGCACAAAGGGAAGCACACGGGGGCCTTGCTTCGGCTGGGGCCAAGTATAGGAATGACTGCGCTCTTCCACTCCACTGGCAGAGCTCAGCTCCACAAACAACATCCTCACAACTGCACGAGCTCCGAGGAGGCACCCCTGGGCGCCGCTTGTGTAGTGCAGTTCCTCCAGGATGCAGCTTTGGGTGGAGGCGGGGAATGAGCGTTTTTTCCAAAGTTGTTTGTATTCGTTCGTCTGCTGGTAGGCAGGATGCGTGCTTTTGCCACGCAATTCATGTCTTTGGAGCGTCCATGGAACAGGCTTCAGCAGACCTTCGGATGTGGCCAGCGTCTTTGTTCCTGCCTCAGGCTACACATAGGGCGCCATACCAGATGTCCCACAAGTTGATTTCCCTCGCTGAGGTCAGCACTATCCACCAGGCAAAAGGATCGCCGAGAGCGCTTTGCAGGACACCTCGTACCTTCAAATTGAGGTTGGGCTGGCAGGACTTGAGTGGCAAACAGTCTTCGTGCTTCAGTGCAATGAGACGGTCATGCCACTGAGCTGGCCTCAGCTTCTGCTTGGACGCATTGCGCTTTGCATGCTTTGCACTGCCCAGCTCTCATGCCACAGTGCCGGCGGAAGCGTAGCAGCGTAGCCTGGCCCTACAAGGCAGCAGATTCGGGCTGAAGATTGCAGCGAGCACTTGGAGGAGGAGCGCCGGCGCGCAGCCTCAGTACTTAGGGGATGAAGCCAAGGGTTGCAGAGAGGCAAGAAATGGATGGCTTCAGCTGTAGTCACCATTGCAGCCGGATGGCCCAAGCCCTCCAATTTGAGCAATGCGATAGCCATGAAACGTGGCAGTAAGGCGGGCTCGTCCAACGAGCCCTTCCAGGACCAAGGGGAGGATGAGGAGGACGAGGAGGCACCATTGTTAAGTCAGGATAAGCCACAGAAGACAGGCTCAACTTCGTGGAGCGCTTCTGTTCGTAATGGATTCGGCCTTGGACCATACCTTCAGAAGTTGGAGTCCAACTTTGGCTACGAATTGCTGGTGATGCTTTTCGTGTCCCAGCACTTGATGAAGGGCTTTGTGAATGAGTTCACCAATCCCTGCATCAACTTCCTCTACGGTGCTTACCGAGTGGCAGGGCCACAGATGCAAGTCTACCGCGGGGTGACGCACCTCCCCTGGGCAATGAAGCCTATGATTGGCTTGCTCAGTGACACAATGCCCATCTTCGGCTACAACAAAGCACCCTACATCCTCCTGGTGGCCATTCTTGGGTCTGCAGCGACGGCCTGCATCGGTTCCGTGCCACAAAGCCAGCTGACAATCACAAGCCTGGTGTTTTGCCTGTTTCTGATCCAGCTCCAGCTCTCCACCACAGACTTGCTGACAGAGGCGAAGTACGCGGAGAAAATGCAGACAAAGCCCAAAGAAGGACCTGCGCTGATGTCCTTCGTGTGGTTTGGTCTGCAATGCGGAGGGCTTGTAGCCATGCTTATGGTCGGCCCCATTATGTCGCACTTTGGACCGAAGCTCCCATTTCTGGTTGTCTTGGTCCCTTCGAGCATTATCGTAGTGCCGCTGATGAAGGGCTACCTCCAGGAACGACGGCTTACAGTGGAGGACATCCGTGCCACCCGTGCAGCCATCTTTCAGCAGAGGGAGGCCTGCGCCCTGTGCATCCTCATGATGGGTTCAACCCTGGCCCTGACGGTTGTTGGCACAACTATGCAGAACGTCAAAATCAATGCCATTGCCTCGGTCGTGGTTGCTGTGATCATCATCTCTGCGTTCAGCATCCTGCTGAGACCAGAGATTGCAAAGGTGAATGCTTTTTTCTGCCTACAGACAGCGGTGAACTTTTCAGTGGGTGGTGCGTCCTTCTACTTCTATACTGACACGCCTGAGCAGTACCCAGAGGGGCCCCATTTCTCCAAAGTCACCTCCTTAGTTTCTGGGGTGCGCAATGCACTGGAGACAGGCAAGGTCAGAATTTGAGCCAGTGTCTGGCTGAGGTATTCTACACTACCGTCCTTGGAGTGACAGGCTCGGTCTTCTCCTTGCTTGGAATCTACACCTACCAGCCGCTGTGACTGCATTTTATTCCTATGCTGACCCGAGCTTCTTTCGCAGATCCCGGAACACTCAACGCAGGAGGTATGCCAGCGACTGGAGCTTCCGCCACCTTCTCCTCATTAGCAATCTGGCCTTGTGCTTCCTAAGCATCACAGATGTTGTATTCTTTCTGCGCCTGAACGTGCGGTTTGGCTCCTCAGACAGCATCAGCCTGCTTTGCTCAGACTGTGACCCTGCATTTCAACAACCAAGTTACCAAGTTGAAATTTCTGGGAGGCATCCCAGATCACGCCTTCATCCTGGGCAGCAGCGTCTTCGCGACCATTCTCAGCCAGTGGCAGTGGATGCACCTTGCTGCAGAACCAGAGGTCTTCAAAGTGCTGTTAGGCCACTGCTGGGCAGGGTGCCCAATATAACCCCAATATATACCCTGTTATAATATAGTAGTTACCATTTTCCATTATCCCACAATAACCCCGATACATAATGGGTTACAGCCTGAGGCCGGGCGTCGTCATCCTTTCCCAACTTTGTCCTCCGGGCCTGGAGGCCTTCAGTCTGTCTGCGCAAACTTGCTTGCCGTGCTTTGGGCCTGAGCTGTGCCAGGCTACAATGTACGCCCTTCTGGCGGGTTGCCACAACCTGGGAGGCGCGGTTGTGTCAAGTCAGGAACATGAGAAAGTCAGCGGGAAAGAACGTCAAGGCTCAAGACATTTTTGCGTGGAACCTCACACTCAAGAGTAGGGATTGCGAAGGGTGCGCAAGCTTTGCCCCATTAAATGTCAAGGCACCATCGCCTCTTCCACCGGCGCATTCATGTTGGAAGTCCTGGAGGCGCTGCGCAACCTGAGTTCACAATTATACAAACCACATCAAACCTGTCGCAAACCACCAACAGTTTACATGCAGCTTTGCGGGATGGAAGCTCTCAAGAGGTGTAGACTGAATATCAGAAGGCCGGACGGAGTTCAAGCTTGCCCTCAAGTAAATGAGCTGTGCTGTTCTTAGTCTGCAGAAGGCTGTCTACCTATTTCAGAGGGGGACACTTTCAGATTGGCAGGATGTCTTGTTACTTGATGCAGAGCTTCCCACCTCCAAAGTCATCAACAGCGAACAGGCCTCAGAATCCGAAGGAGACAAAAAGGACTCAACAAATCGGAATCAGCTTGCTGCGTTTCGATTCTACAACAGATTCCTGCCACAGAAGCCTTCGGAGCCTCTGACGCTGAGAGCACCATCGGAATGCCAAGATGCTCCCATGCCTTCATGTGACCCTCAGGTGCAACCATCCGGTGCAAACATGGAGTCAGCTCAATTCAAGCGTCCTGGCGCATTTCGCATGCAGGAGAAGAAAGCTTTAGAAGATCTGCTGTGCTCAGGAACCTTTGGGTTGCCTCCGCTATCTCCTCGGTGCTCCCTGCAGTGGTGCTTCTGCCGGGAGCCTTAGGAGAGCTTCTTCTGAGTGACTCGGCTGTGTTGACAATACCTCCAAGGCTCCTTCCCTGGCTCATTCCGGACCGGAAGCAGACGGAGAAGCTGTTGCAGGACGTGGGTCTCACCTACTCCTAGTTGCACGTATCTGCCAGTAGCGGGCTAAGATCACAAGCCCGGCTTGAGTTGCTGAAGCCGCTTGGCGCATGACAGGAGGGCGATGTGAGCGTCACGCAGGGCTCCATCTGGCGACGCATCACTGGCCAAGAAGGATGAGCTTAGTATGAGTCCAGAAAACACTCATCCTACGTGCTATCCTCACCGTGGCTTGGAAGAACGCAACCTACCGAAAAGCTGAGTCGTAATGTCAGATGCAGAAATCACTGCACAGCTTTGCACAGCTCTGCGCTACGCAGCGGGCAGCCTTGGAGTCCTTGCGGAAGACAATTCAGAACTGACACTGTCGACCCTTGCGTTCTCAAGAGAGACTGAGAAAAAGGCGTGCTCCATCAGGAAGCGGAACCAAACTACAACAACTGTGCCAGATTCTTTTTCGGATTGACTTTTCTGCCTGAGGCTGTTCTACGTTGCTATGACGCGCGCCCGAGATCATCTCGCATCTCGGATACATGCAGCTTATCTCATGCAGGTTCCGCATCATGAAGAGCCTCAAGCAGACGCATTTTTAAAGATGCAACGTGTCTGCGCGCATGTGCGTCAAGCCTGCAGCTGCAATGAGGTCCTTTCTTTCTCGCTGCGTCATGACTCGGGGCAGGCGCTGAGAAGGGAACTCGTAGAGAAAAAGTGGGGCGCTGCTTGCGGTTGGTAAGCTGGCAAGCTGTCGAGGCTGCTGAGCCGTCGCGTTTTCTCTTTGAGACTGGAGCACTCAGCTCCAAAGCTGCCGATCAGTCAGGCTTTGGAGCTCGCATTGGTTTCGCTCCTTTGGAGCCAGTCTTTCGGGTGTCTGCGCATGGATCACAGCCAAAGCGGGTGAGTGGAAACGATGGCAAATTGATTGTGTAGCACTCAGCCAGGTGACGGCTCGACCATCCCCGCGCAGGCTGAAGCACCGCAGCCCTCTCTGCTGGCCCAACTGCCGCAAGCACAAGCACCACTCAAGGAGAAGCAAGATGCAGACCCCCCTCAAGCACAACAGTGGAACGAGCTCCCGAAATTCCACCCGCTGCGGGGGACAGCTCCTGTGACGCCAGTGCCCAGTACAGACGAGCTTGAATTCAATGCACAAGGCATGTGGAGGGCAAGTGCGCTGCGTTGGGGGTGCAAGGTGTGTGTCGCTGGGATGTGTTTTCGAGTAGCGTGCTTGGACTACTGGGAGGTGCTGATCCTGCTACCTCCTGGCTTCCCTTCGCGCAAAACGCTGAGGAGGCCTTCTGTATGTTTTAGCACGCTTGCAACTGCGCTCAGCCTCTGCGATAAACATAGTCGTCATGTCATCATGAGTGTGGATGAGTAGCAGCATTCATTTCCATCAGGAGCTATGCCGCCAGCTCTTCGGCGACGAAGCCTTGGAGTCTGCCTGATAGGGGCATAATTGGCATGGTTAGGATACACTCCGCGCCTGTCCTGCGCAGCTGCGCGTTCAAAGGCTGAGACTGCAAATACTAGTTCCCTGTGTCGCCACGCTGCTTGGCAGCGACATTAAGACTCTCTGCAAGCCTGGGAGGCTTTTTGTATCTTTGTCTGAATTCGAGGGCATCCCAGCAACCGTAGTTTGCTGACCGTGCATCAGAGCGCGAAGCCTTGGCAGCAAGCGGGGCTGAAACATCTCTAAAGCAGAGAGCACTTCAGCACCAGAGCAATTGCCCAGCTTGCTGTGATTAGAATGGCTGAAGTGACAATCCAGCATCCAGGTGGGCTGAAGCAAAAACCTGGGACCTGGGAGGCGCAAAAGACCCATTATCGCCGTATGTGGCATTTTGCACCAGTGCGGTGTTCTGGCGGCTAGCCAAATCTGAGTTCGAAGGCCCTTAAGCAGCGCTGCCGTGCTCTGATATTAGAGACAAGTTGCTTCCAGTATAGTGACATGCAGGAGCTCATGCTCATGCTATGAGGGTAGCCTCTTGAACGTCGCAGACCTTCCGCAGCCGAATTTCGGCCCCGCCTCAATGCAGACACCCTACCGTCATCGTCTTGGTGCGGAGGCGCGGGGGGGCAGGTCGGCCGGAATGTAGAGAAGGATCGGGGTGCTACTGTATGCGGCTGGCCAGCCCGGTTTTTGATGTATGTACCGAAGTATCACACATGTGGCGCCTGGGGCTGGCTTGCTACGACAACTGCTCTTCGTATCTCTTCGTTGCATTCGTTCAACATGCCGTTCCAAAGTATTCGGTCTAAGAGCCACCAGCAGCATCAGCATTGCAGCTGTGGAAAGTGCTTTTAATATTTAGTGGTGGCTGCTGGACGACATGAGAAAGCACATCAGGGAGCGCGCGGCTAAGTCTTAGAACAAGCGACTATCTTCAAGTCTTTGGAGGGTTGCTTTACTAGAGATGACCTGGCACGCTTCGACTGCTCTGAGTCTCGGGGCCAATCTTGCTAGGCTGCAGCTCCCTTGCCCGGCCGCGAGGGAGAGGCCTCTAGCAGCGGCTATGGCGCTGTGAAGCCGCGGTCGACGTCATGGGAGACGCGAGGGTCGCAGACTCAGGTGAACAAGTGCCGGCAAACCGGGGTTAGGCTGGCAGGCATTCTTCACAGAGCAACACTCCAGCGACACTCCAAGGGAACCATGGGACCTTTTCGTTGAGGCAGGCCTATCTGTGGGCCAGAGGCTCAGGTTGGTTGCATAGTGTCAGTGCCAGGAGTGCCACCATGTACTCGGTAGTGCTCGCAGTTGCATCTACTCTTGATTGTAGAAGATGATCCCATTTCCACTCCAGTGCTTGCTGCAACTTCGCTTTGGCAGCGCTAGTCATGAAGACGCTTTTCATGTTGATTATAGCTTGCAGTGAGAACGAAACTTCGCAGAGGGTCAAGCAGAACTGTATACCTGTATAGGAGTGAATGCCAGGCCGTCAGCTTTTCGCGTTGGTGTTTATCCTGGTCCAGGCACCGAAGCATGCGCTTGTAGCCCTGTATGTGCTTCCCCAAATGGAACATTTTCGCGCATAAAGTCTGGCCATTGGTGCTTTGCAGTCACCTGCCCGAGGTGTTGGGCCCTCACTCCCATGACAACGTGATGAACTGCGACCCCGTGAGGCCGTCTGAGTGGAGCTGAGCACACTGACTTGGCTTGCCTTGGATTGCCTTGGAGCTTGAAGGTGTGGCTGGTACTTGTCCATCTTTTGCGAGTACACCAAGGCTAGGCCCGGCTTTTGGCGTGGTTTTTGAGGTTGTTGTCTTGCAGGCCTATGTGCGCTGCTTTCCGTTGCTTGCCATGGCCGTTTCCCTAATGGTGGCGTGGCTTCCTCAGGGCTTTCACACGGAGCCTCAGAGCCTCAATTCGGTTTTTTGCAATTCTACTTCTCAGGACTCGGATGGTCTTGAACCACCGGATCTACTACCAACTGCTGAAGCAAGATTTGCTGATCAGCTTCGAGCCCCTTCTGCCCTCACAGGCGCTGTCACCAGTTCTTTTTGCCTCTTTCAGTAACAGCAGAAAGCAGCACTGCCCGCAGTGCAGGACTCTCTCTTTCGCTTGCTGCTCTGGTGTTTTGCGAATGCCTTCCCGCACTTTATCATCAACATTTGGCTGGTGGGTACCTGTGGTTTGAGGTTGCTTTGGCTTGCGTGATGTGAGAGGCCCACCGGGAAGCATTCCATCTGGTAAAGTTGGGTGATTTGGCAAGCAGTGCGCAGCGGCTTGGCAGATCTAGCCACGGCTAGGGTTGGCAAATCAGCCTGTTCAGAATGCGCTTTTGACATGTTCTGAGCATGCCCGGCTTTTGCAATTCCTGCAGCACTGAGCATGGCGCCCGTGTATTCCGAAAGCACCAGGAAGCTGATGGCTGCCAACGTGCTGCATGAAGCGCACCAGGCCGCTTACAAGGGCACTGCATGCCGAAGAATCCTGTTTTGGTAGCACCAAAACGATTTAGACGTAGCAAGCCGGAAGGTAGCCGTGTTTTACTTTGTGCCAGCGATCGTCTTCCTGCTTTTCCTCTTCAGTTCCTACGACACAGAGGCCCTGCGGCTCTGTAGGGCTGAGGCCATGTAGGGAGACAGGGCAGCATCCGGGCATGCTGTCCAGGCCATGCTGCTGCCCCTTAGCAAGTTCTTTGAGGCGGGCCTGAGCCAAACCGTGTGTGATGTCGGCCTTCAAAAGTGCAGGACGACTTTGAAGCTTCGCGCACCGCATTGAAGAGGGCCAGCCCTTCGTTTTGCTTCGAGGGCCAAAACACGTGGGCTTGCACGGACTTGAGAGGTCCGATTCATGAGGGAGAGTGATGTCGCCGCGCGCGTTCAGAAGGGGTTGCACCTCAAGGCGGGGAGTTGAAGCTTGCAAGCAGTCGTCGACCAGACACTTCTGTTGGTTCTGTCCACAGGGTGGTGATGGCTCAACAATTGTGGATGCGTTTCAAGAGCTGGCTGCCACTGCCCCAGGGCCCTTGCGCAATATGTGAGACCGCAGAACGACATGGCCACGTGGCCAGGATGCTGCAGCGACTGATGCGCCCGCCACAGTTGCCCGGACAAGCCGGCTGCAGCTCCGAGCGACTGGGACTTCAGAGGGGAGTTTTGGAAGACATCGCCCGACCAAAAAGCACTCACCCAAGGCTACCGCAGACAAACAACGCTTGCAGGAAGAAGTGAGGTCAGCCCAGTACGGCTCCTTGCTCCATCATGCCACGGGCTGGGGAGTTGCTTGCTGCAAACAGGTTTTGCCTGATGTTTGGCAGGCAAAGGGTGACATGGACAATGTGGCCAGCGCGGCTACTCCTTGATCCACGGCTTTCCGACAAGGCAGGAAGAAGAAGTTGCACAAGCATGCGAGGCTTCAGCAACGCTCCACCACGGAAGACTTGTAGCACAAAGATCTGGGAGGATACTGTAATTTTCCGCTGCCTGTGGCACGTCTTCCTGGCCGTGATCGGGCTGCTTATGCTTGTGGTGTGGCCGGCGAGGTTGCTGCTCATTCTGTAAGATGTTGGCCGCATACGCCAGGTCTTCTATTGCCTTTCTTGCCAGGTGCTCAAGGCTGGGGCATGAGCTTGTATGCAGAATGCGGAGTGATTTGCAAGTTGCGTACAAGCAGGACGTTGGCGATGTATGGGGGGGCCAGCTGCCGGACATGGCTGGAATTCTAGTGGAGCCCAGCCCTTATGGATTGGATGATGAGGATGCCACCGCTGCAATTCTTTGGCGAAGGTTGGGGCACAGCGCAATTGCTGTGCATTTGTGCCTCACGCTCTTCCGCCAGTCCTTGGTGATCGAGCCATCACGGCTGTAACAGCTGCATAGCAGACTGGAAGACCAGTCAATAGTGAATGAAACGATGTACATTGTCGCTGCATGAAAATTCCAGCAGAAAAGGAGGATTGCGGAGTCTGGCCATCCTTGCTTGCTCTACCAAGACCATCCAAGACGTTCCTTCATGCTTGGAGCTTGCGATGCATTGATGCTGGGAGTTCATTCATGGCAGTTGCCTGGTCGTGGCGATTCCTGTAGTAGTAGCAGTAGCAGTAGCATTAGCATTAGCAGTAGCAGCAGCAGCAGCAGCAGGAGTAGTAGTAGTAGTAGTAGTAGTAGTAGTAGTGGTGGCAGTAGTAGCAGCAGTAAAAAGAATAATCGCAGGAGCGGCAGCAGAAGCAGTAGCAGCAGCCATAAAAAGTCATATCATTGCTACTAAGAAAAGTGATAATCATCATCATAGTCATAAGACTGATAATAGCACTACTGGTGAAAGTTCATAATGATAGTGCTCATGACAATTATACAAGTAACAATATCAATGGAGTCCGTACTGTCAGAGTGGTCACAACCGTAGCGATACTAAGAGGTTATAGTGGCCGTGGCAATTATGGCTGGCGATCATTGTTGCAGCCGTGGTAACACTGCTAGCAATGGTACTAACAAGAACAGTGACCCAAAACAAGAACCATTGTAACTGCCAAACAGGAAGTATGCAAGAAGATCCGTGTTGTCCGATACAACAGGATAGGGTTGTTCTTGGGAAGATACCTGCTTTTACTTGTGTTTGATTTTTATTTATTTTTTTTTCGGGAGCGGCGGGTAGGAAATGTCATTTCAATACATAGTCATATCTCAAGGGCTGCAACATGAATACCTGTTGAAACTGAACATGTATTCTG